TCATTTGAGTGAATTTTAATTCTAAATGTCATGTGAATATGGATTACTAAACTGTTTATTTAAGTGGTAACAATGTGTGAACGTCACAGGGCTACATTTTCATGTATCTAGTGATTGCTTGCAGCTGAGGTTTAGGGAGTACCTGCTGCCAATATGCTGTAGACTGCAATTTCCATGATTCTCAATTTTACAAGATACTTTGATCTATTCTTCACCTCCGTTACCCTGTTATCAATGGTGCTATAATCCATTCAATCAGATTTGCTGTGTAGATTTTCTAAAATGACATGTATCTACTGAACATTTTAAAATTGAGTATATTTGTATTGACATTCCTGTGAACCTTTTAAGCCCTCAATCACCTCTCTGAAAAGGTTTATGAATGTTGATACCAGGGCATGGTTGGTAGATCTTCACACTTCAAAACCTGTATAACAAAACTGTGTGTGTTCAGGTGGGAGGACCATGGAAAGCAGGAGAGTCTGCCAAGTGAGGAAATCATTTACAAACTAATTGTTCTTAAATTACATCTTTGGGGGATTGTCTTCCTAAAGCAATGCTCTTACACCCATAATGCTGGCAAAGCATCATGTAAGGTATAGTACAAAACATCTGGAGTGTTGAAGGTTGCCCATGCCTACATTACTCCATTCTACAATCTTTGCACTGGGAAAACATTGACTTACTGCACATCTCACAGTGTTTAAACATTGGTTCACTAATATTGCCAACCCCTTTTACCTGCAGTTTGGGTTCAACAAAAAGATATTATGCAAAAAGGGAAAAAAATACACTTCTCTTAAAGAAAACTTTCAATCTGAAATATTAAAATGGTAGTTGCATTTTCAGTACCTGTAGATGTATCTGCTGTGCACATTGAGTGGGTTACCAGTCCACATCCTCTGTTGTGCAGAGTGGAATGTTTAAAAAAGAGTACTTTTTGGAGTAATATTAAAATAAAATATAAAACTATTATTTTGCTTGTGTGATAAACCAACGAATAAGGTAGTAAAAGATCAGGTAGGGGCCTAAATAAGTAAGAGGTAGTACAGTTTTGCACTGAACTAAAGGAACACTATAGTTCAAAATACAAACTTGTATTTCAAAACTATAGTGCTGAAGTGGCTATTTAAGTAACCGGCCCCCTCTCTGTGCAGTAAAAAGGTGATATTTCACTCACCTTTTCCCTCATTCCACGCAGTTCTTGCTGTGGCTGGCTCTGCCTCAGTGGCTGAGATAATCAGTCTTGATGATCTCTGGCTATTCAATGCATTTCCATAGGAAAGCATTGGGAGGCTATTGCGCATGCTCTGCAAAACGCTGCACCAATCCGCATGTCTGTGGGGAACATTTAGTATGGAGATGCTGAATGCCATTACTGCACAGGACTAGGAAGCACATCTAGTGACTTTGACTGCTACTGTTAATGATTGCTATTACTAGGCACCAATGTAAATGCTGCCTTTTCTCTATAAAGGCAGCATTTACATTGAAAAGCCTGCAGGGACAGGTTATAGACACCATAACCTCTACATTAAGCTGGTATCTATAGTGTCCCTTTTAGGGTATACCTTGAAAAACAAGGCACACTCATTTTGCATGCCAATGTCAGGGACTTTTTTTGTTCTTTTATTTTTTTATTTTTTAAATGGTCTTTGTCTAGTGCTAGTGAAAGCTGTGGTTTTACAGTGGAGGGGGATGATGATTTTGCATTATTAATATAGATAGTTTTGAAAAACTCAAGAGAACCCCTAACAGATGGTTTTTCATTACACATATCCGATTGCAGCACTCCGATCAAGACCAGTTGCAGAAGATGGCGGTATACCACTCCATCTAAGAATAGACAAAGGTAACCAACAATCATCAAAACATGTCTGTGCTGTAGCTAATGAGATACTTTTAAATTGACTTAATTCATGTTTGGTCTTCTTACACATTTTGCGTTTTTATTTTCCCTAGGTAAAAAGCCTCTAAGGCAGGACGTTCGGCATTACTCTCGTCTATCTGCAGAAGAGAGACAAGCTAAACAGAAACTTGCACACCAATTACCCAAATTAAGTCAGGTCAGTACATGGAAAAATTATTAACGATTTGTTCTAATTGTGTATCTTATTTGGGTTTGGAGATATTGTATATGTTTCCTTTTTTTTTTTTATTTAATGCATTGTAAAATAGTCCATAGCAATCCTTGGCATTAAAGGAAGACTCTAAGCATCATAACCACTACAACCTGAAAGCAGGGACCCCAGGTGCTGAACAGAACTCAAAAAATTGTTGAACAACTTACTATGGGATGGCACCAATAGTACTTGGAATGTTCCTTTTAAAATCATGATATAAGCCCTCTTATCAGATTCTTTAGATTATATTTATTTCAAAAACAGAATATGCAAGGATATAGTTTAATATGTATGTGAACAGGTTGATGATCCAAGGAGAAATCTGATTGCCATTACGGTATTTAAGGAATTTTTCCCATTTTTGTAGCATAATTGGAAACTGCATAAAAGCATGGGTTTTAATGATCAAACTTGGTGAGTCATTTTTATTTAAATTTTTTCCAACCTAGATTACTATGTAATACGTTTATATTAAGCCTGTCGAATTGTATTGCTAACACTATAGTTCCTTATTTGCAGATTAGTCTTTGGTCCCTTCATACCCACACCCCACTTCCCATAAAACTCTTTAAAAAAAAAAAACACCTTTACAGCAGTGCCAAGGCCCCCTCAGCACTGCCAGCCTGTTATGTTATCTGGCTCTCAAGCCAATGGCCAATCCAATGCTTCTCATAGCACAACTTTGGAAACAGATGCATGCATTGTAAGTGCCATGCACGCATCCAAATTATTTGCATAGGAAAGCATTGAATTCAATGATTTCCTATGAGCTTTAACATTGTATTACAATTGTTTTTTTTGTTTTGTCTGATATAAAATTCTTCTTGTGAGAGGACTACAACGTACTGCGTTGTTAGTGGAGCTTTAATCACATTTAAATTGCATTTATTTTTTTCATTCATAGGGTCACTTTATTGAGTTATGCAAAACCTTGTACAACATGTTCAGTGAAGACCCAAATGAACAAGAACTGTACCATGCCACCGCAGCAGTCACCAGCTTGCTGTTAGAGATTGGCGAAGTGGGTAGATGCTCCTCAAACCAAAATACTGAAGAACCTCCCTGTCAAACTAGCAAGGAGATTTTGGAAAGAACTTGTACAAAGAAACCTTCTAAAGCATATGGAAGGTTTTCTGACAGGCCAGTTAATTCCGATTATGTAGACTATTTAAACTCTGATCAGATGGAGGAGGTAAAACTGGAAGATTCTTCACCAAAAGACAATGGGGCATGTTCATCCATGCTTATATCTGATGATGACACTAAAGACGATAGCTCAATGTCATCATACTCTGTCTTAAGTGCTGGATCACATGAAGAGGACAAACTGCACTGCGAAGATATTGGAGATGACACCATATTAGTGCGGAGCCAGAATAAAGCCTCTTTGCCTTGTAATACCAGCCTAGACCGAGATTGGGCCATTTCATTTGAGCAGTTCCTGGCCTCTTTCTTAACTGAACCAGCTTTAGCTAGATACTTTGATAAGCCAGTGTCCATAATGGCTAGAATTGTAGATACTAAGAATTACCGTATGGTGGGTAAAGCCCTATCATCATTGAGTGACTATGACATGTCAGCCTTGTCTGGATAAGTGGGGGAAAAAACCTCACAATGCAACTCTAAACACTCTCTGAAACGTGAAAAAAACATTTTAATCTTTTATTTCTTTAGTGGAGACTGCATATGGTCATTGGTAAAATGGAAATACCTTAGATTTTTGGAACAAAAAAAGCATCCATTTAAAAAAAAATAAAAAATAAATTACTTTTTAACTCTGGGAGGAAAAAAAAATGTGCCCAAATTGCTTTCCATAACCAAACTAAATGCAGGAATTGCTGGAGTTTTAACAGGAATTTTTTTTGAAACCAGATCCTTCTATAGGCATGATTTTCAAACATTTTAAGTTTAAAAAAAAAAAAAAGTCAATATTAAAAAATAGAGGAAAAAAGAATGGATATATATATATACACAAATTAACTAGAATATATTATTTGGCATTTGAAGGACCGTAAATGAAAATGAGATCTTGTGCTTGTTACTCTGTGGCTCAGAATCCTTTGTCTTGTATTTTACACTAGTTTTACTGTACAGACTTTTTAAAATGACAAGGATTTTCATTTGCAGAGATGTAGTGCAACTTTGTTATAGAGCCAACTCTCTTGTCTATCCTGTTTTAAACCTTGACACCCAGTGAAGTTGATGTTATATGCGTTTTCCCTCTGGCATGTGAATGGCTGTGCTTCGAGCACCTGCACTTTGTTCCCTTCTTTTTAAGCCCTGTCCACTTAATTCTACTTACTCAGGGGTAGCCAACAAGAGTCCAGCCCCATCTGCTGTGGAATTACAATGCCAAAAGGCATTGCTTGCTATCTTGGCAGTTTAGTTCCACAGCAACTGGGAGACTACTTGTTGTCCACGCCAGTTCTAAACGTACCTACATGCCCCAATTGATCAGATATGCATAAATTATTTTATGTATATTTTTTGTGCCTATTTGTTCTAAACTGAATTTTTTAAGCTGCTTTTACTTTTGAATACTCTATGTAAAGTAAGTCCATTCAATGTTGGTGAACTATTATTTCATGCCCAAGCTGCTCTATACATGAAAGGTATAATAAGGGTTTTTCAATAAATAAACCCCTGATTAATTTAAAAAATGTACGAACTCATTTGATCTTTATACACAAATTTACCACTTGATTGTTTTTTCAACTAGTCACACTTAAAATGAAAAAAAAAAATATATATATAATCTATAAAGTGAATTTTTTTTAAAGCAAAGTCATGTTAAATAACAACCCACCCCACACAAAAAATAAATAAAAATCATGGCATGGGTTTAATGTGCTGGGTAAATAACCCATGCAGTATATACTGGGAATTACAAAAAGTTATTTACCCAGCACATTAAACCCATGCCATGATTTTTATTTATTTTTTGTGTGGGGTGGGTTGTTATTTAACATGACTTTGCTTTAAAAAAAAAAAAAAAAAATGTACTTTATAGATTTAGTAAACCAGTGTTCTCCAAATCTCTACAGATATGCGCAACTTGCAAATAAAAATGTAGTGTATGTATAATGCATATATTGTACATTGAGTACATTAATGAAGCTAATATTTTATATGAGGATTCAATGCTGCATCACTTGTTTACTTAGCAGCAACATACTTGGGTTTTCTAAGGGTTACACAAACTATAGAATGACGCGCATGTTGTCAAATAGAGCGCTTGAATTCTGTGCTTATGGTATAGGAGTGATCTCTTTGCGTTGATAATAATTTGTGTACTCACCTTCAGAGTTCATTCACCTTTACATAGGTTAAACTGATGCAAGCTACATAGCCCAGTACTGACATTCAAATCTGGCTTAGAAATTCATGATTTTTCATTGTTAAAGAAACCATAAAATCTCTACTTCAAATCGATAAGTTGAAATATAGAAGTTATGGTTTGGTGCTTTTTTTTTTTTTCTGTTCTAATGCAAGTACTGTAGGTCAGCAAAGGATGGCAATCAATCTATCCCACTGTATGCATTTTCTGTTAATGCACAATACATTAAACTCTAATTTGGTTAAGGCAATTCCCAAAGCGCAACATTCATCATTTTTTTATTTATTTATTTATTTTCCTTCATCTACGTCTACAGCTGTCATTATCTGCCTTCTCTGAATTGCAGGAAGTGTACGTTGGTAAAAAATAGAGCTAAGAAATATTTTAAACTGATTCATGGTGTAGCCTCTGTGTGCAATACTGGATTTAAAACCGTAATCTTCCATTAAAATAGGCAGGCCAGGAGTTTAATATAAAAATATTTTTTTATGGGTTATTTGTGGATATATTTTTGTTGTTTGTTTTAAGGGGGAGAAGGGGTTGAGGGGTTTTGTCTGTTTTTTACCTTGGTATAAAATAGCCAGTAGATCCATATTGCAGAAACCAATTTACATCCTATGTCCTGAAGTAATGTCCTTGACCACTTGCTATTGCTGCACAAACATTTCCTTAGTGTGGTGTTTGCTAGGTAACACCCTCATGGAACACAGCCAAGTAAATCCCAGGAATCAGTGTCTATTATAATTTACTTATACAGGTCAATGTCATCATTTATTCACTAGAGTTGCCCTGGGCAATCTCAAAAAATGAGGGTTCTTGTTAATTGATTAGAAAAAAGTTGGGGATTGCATTAAAAGCAACTATGGAGCTTAAACAGCAGACATTATAGGTGATATCCTACAAAATGGCTGTACACAGATATTGAGATCCAACACAATAAAGAAAATATAAAGGCAATGGGGGGGGGGTCATTATTAAGATGCTTGGAGCATAAGGAAAGGAAAACCAAAAGAGTATCAGAAAATAAAACTAAAAAAAACACACAGGGCTGTTTTAAGGTGACACGGCACCCCCCACTCCTGTCCTCCCCCTCTCTACCAATTTCAGATCTGCAAAACCTGGCAGTTCTAACTGACCATTGTTTCAGATGGACAAATGCATGCTTTTAAACTGTGTATGAAAAATACTCTTGACAGTATGTTGCTTGCACAAGCTGCTGTGTAATTGTAAAGTATTGTTGTAAACCTCTCCCATGAGAAAAAAAAAAAACTAAAACATGGACACCCTCAGCCATGAATAAAATCTATGTCAAACCTAACTGCTGTATATACTCTAAAAAGGTAAACCGTTGTCTCAGGATGAGCTGAAATTTTGTTTTAAGTTCACTACAGTTTGTTTTAGGACCAAATTGCTAAGTGCATACAAAAAGTAATGATTTATAATCATTCCACAATTTGGCTACAGAGCTTGGCTATTTTAGCCTAAACGTTGCAATTCACTACCTAAGGTTCCAGTTTACTACATTTTGGAGTTAAGTAATAGTAAGGCTCGAGTATAAGATGGACAAGCCAACAGGAAAACTTTTTTATATGAAACTTTTTATATTAAAAACATTGAGGGTGTGAAGAAGGGAAAACCCACCGCAAGAGAAAGCACAAAGAAAAGGCAGAGAGGTTTTAAATATATAATGCTTTTCCCAAGCAAACAAAGTCCATCAATACACGGTCCTCGTTCAAGGCTATAACTTTCCTCATTAGAGGGATCAGCGTACTTTTCATTGATGAGCCTGTTGAATGAAGTTCTATTATGTATCTCACAAAACAATGGCAGTCTGGCTAATTGTCCTAACTGAGAGCATCAAGGAGAGTTCCCACTGCTTATTTCACCAAATTATGTATTTTAAATACTTCCATTTATACCTAGAACAATCCTTATATTTTATAGAATATAGTGTTTTAAACTGATAGCCCTGATAGATTAAATCCCGAGAAACTTTGCATCTCACTTTAGCTTGTGATCTACTAACCTTAACAGACTTGTATACCAAAATAAAAAAAAATATAGCACTGGTTGATAATTGTTTCCTTATCCAGTTTCAAAGCTGGATGAAGCCAGATCTGTTAGACTTTGCCCCTGTTGTGTAGATTCTGCTTGGAAGTTGTTGCTGAGGAGGTGAAAAAGCAATAAGGTTATTTGTCTGTTCTAGCAGTCGATATTGACGGAAATAATCGAGCTTGACCTATGTGAATTGCCTTGTTGTTTGGTTGTTTTTTCTTTTTTTGCTGCACCCAATGTAAAAACAAATTCTATATAACCTTTTGCACCAAGAGAGTGAAGACAAACCTGGTTCTTCACTAAATAATGATTTCCCAGTTGTTGTGGTTTAAATTCAGCAGACAGCAATGTTTTCTCTCAGGTATGAAGACAAGGAATGGACACAGCAGAAATACAAGCTTGGAGGGCAGTACTCATTCACACATGCGTATGGCAGAATACTACACCTAATTTTAATGGGGAAAACACAGATCTTATGACAAAATTCTATACACATCCAAAAAGGGGTTGTCTTCACATAATACAGTCATGTCCTATCAATTGCATATTCAAAGAACTTAAAGCACATTTGGCATTAGCTGGTCAAAGGGTGTTACTTGATTAAACAAACACTTCCCAACAAGGTGTTAACAGGATATGCAGTGCAGGAGGGGGGGGGGGGAGAGGAACAAGTAGAAGATACAAATCAGGATCAAAGGCCAGCTGTTATAATAGAGCATCCTGACATTACTCAATCAACTGTGTAGTGTGACACAGGAAAGGTGCTCATTAATCCATATCACCAGTAATTGTCAAATTTAGGCCAAACGTATAGAAAATATTTCCAAGTCCCCTATGTGTCCAGCTATTTTGGCCTTAAATTTGCATTTTTGGCATTCAGTTTATCAAACAATCTTGAATATGTGGCTTGTCCATCTTATACTCGAGCCTTACTATTACTTCACTCCAAAATGTAGTAAACTGGAACCTTAGGTAGTGAATTGCAACGTTTAGGCTAAAATAGCCAAGCTCTGTAGCTAAATTGTGGAATGATTATAAATCGTTACTTTTTGTATGCATTTAGCAATTTGGTCCTAAAACAAACTGTAGTGAACTTAAAACAAAATTTCAGCTCATCCTGAGACAACGGTTTACCTTTTTAGAGTATATACAGCAGTTAGGTTTGTCATAGATTTTATTCATGGCTGAGGGTGTCCATGTTTTAGTTTTTTTTGGTTTTTCTCATGGGAGAGGTTTACAAATTATTTTTATTGATTTTAACAACGAACACGCACCTGGCTCTCTCTGACCTAAAATAAAACCTTGATTCATCAGATCAGGTAATCTTTATATACAACCCAATAAATGTATGGATACTGCTGGTCTACCTAAAAACGAGTATATGACCTAGTGCAATATTGCCTGTAATAAACAAAACGATTTTTATCATCTCCAATTTGAGTGTGCAATTGAAAAATCTGTTTGTTACAAGCAATATTGCACTATGCCATATACTTTTTTTCAGGTACACCAGCAGGATCCCTAATGTTTGTGTTGTATATATCTGTTTTGGTCAGTTACCATCTGGAAGGTAACCTTAAGAGGCTGTGTACCTATAAGGTAGGGTTATTTGTTTATTTTTTTTATATTTATGTATTTTTTTTTTTTAACCCCCTTAAGGACGGAGCCAAATGTACACGTTGTGAACGAATCAAAATGTAAACAAAACCTGGCATTTGCGCTACATGTCCAACCGTAATTCACCTCTTTCATATTAAATGCACTCACCCTTATTATATGTAATTTTATTCAGGGGAAACATGGCTTTCATTTAATATCAAATATTTAGCTATGAAACATAATTTAATATGAAAAAATGGGAGAAAATAAGATTATTTTTTTTTAAATTGTTTTAGTTCTACATGGCATTTTAACTGTCAATGTCATAATACTGTTTGCTTTTACTGCAATAAAATACACATATTTGTATTCAGCAAAGTCTCACGTGTAAAACAGTACCCCCTATGTACAGGTTTCATGGCGTTTTGGGAAGTTACAGGGTCAAATATATACATGTCTACAAATACATTTGAAATTGAAATTCGCCAGATTGGTTACGTTGCCTTTGGGACTTTATAGTAGCCCAGGAATGACATTTACACCCAAAATGGCATACCATTTGCAAAAGAAGACAACCCATTTGGTCACAAACACTGGCCAAAGTTAGCGTTAGTATTTGTGTGTGAAAAAAGCAAAAAATGCCAATTTTGGCCAGTGTTTGTGAATAAGTGGCTACTAAAAAAGACTGGACATACCCCGTTTGCAATACATTGGGTTGTCTTCTTTTGCAAATAGTATGCCATCATAGGGGTAATTTTCATTCTTGGGCTATCATAGGGTCTCAAAGGCAACGTAACCAATCTGTCGAATTTTAATGTGAAAAAAAATGAAACCCAAGCCTTATATTTGATGCTGTAACTTTTGAAAACACCATAAAACCTGTACATGAGGGGTACTGTTGTACTCGGGAGACTTCGCTGAACACAAATATTTGTGTTTCAAAACAGTAAAAAGTATCGCAGCAATAATATCGTCCGTCTAAGTGCTTTTTGTGTGTGAAAAATGCAAAAAACGTCACTTTTACTGGCGATATTGTTGTAATACATTTGACTGTTTTGAAACTCTAATATTTGTATTCAGCGAAGTCTCCCTAGTAGAACAGTACCCCCCATGTACAGGTTGTATGGTGTCTTGGAAAGTTATAGGGTTAAATATAGTGCTAGCAAATTAAATTCCCTTTACTTTCGGCATGGGTTGTCAGGCAGGTCCCGCAAATTGTAATTAATTAAGATACCTAATTATGTAAAAATATTACATGAATATATATGTAGAATTAGTGTATGTGAATGTGTGTGTGTGTGTATGTATGTGTATATATTTAATTTTTAAAATATTTTTATTTATATATAGATATATAGTGATATATACATATATATTTATGTATATAGATATATATTATTTCGTTCTACATGTATTTTGATATATATATATTTATATTATCACAATACAGTTAGAACGAATCAACACACATCTATATATATTTAATTATTTATTTTTAATATTTTTTTTTATTTTTTAACGTATTTACATATTTTTTTATATTAAATATATATATATATATAACAATAATATATAAAATCAGTATCAGTCTGTGTAATTTGATATTAATATATATATATTTATATATATATATATATATTAATAGTAAAATACATCTAGACAGTGTATGTATTTGTATGCACATGTGGTGTGTGTGTGTGTATGTATATGTATATATATATATATATATATATATGATCTAAGTATATATTTATTTATTTTTTAAACTTTTTAACTTGAATTAATTATTTCCAGCCAGCAGGGGGACCACCTGTCATTACAGGCAGCCCCCCTGCTGTCAATGTTGCAGGCAGTTATCCCGGCCATGTGATTGTGAGGTCCTCACAAGGACCTCACTCTCACATGGCCGGGGGGGCTGCCTGGGTAAGTATTGAAAGACCGGAGGGCGTACTATTACGCCCGGCGGCGTTTAGAGCTGCCTAAAATAGGGCGTAATAGTATGCCCTCTGGTCTTAAGGGGTTAATATATATATATATATATTTTTTTTTTTTTGCACAATTCACGGTGTCCGTTGGAAATGTTGTCTTTATATAGGTAATCTTCTTTCATGGTCCAGTTCTGATGCACATGTCCCCATTAAAGGTGCTTTTGACTGTGGACAGGTGCCACAATGGGCACTCTGACCAGATTGTAGTTATACAGCCCCATACAGCAAAATGTAATGCACTGTATCAAAAGCAGCATTACGTTTTTCAGCAATCTGAGCTACAATAGCTCTTCTGTGTGATCGGACCAGACTAGCTATTCTTCGCTCCCCACATGCAGAAATGAGCCTTGGGCATCTGTGACCCTGACGCTGATTTAACACTTGTCCTTCCATGCTAACCACTATATACCGGGATCACCCATCTGGGCTTGTCATTTTGAAGATGCTCTGACCTAATCATCTAGCCATCACTTTTTGGCCCTTGTCAGTCACTGATATCTTTTCGCTTGCCCATTTTTCCTGCTTCCAACACATTGACTTAAAGAACTGACTGTTAACTTGCTGCCTTATATATTCCACCCTTTGACATATATGTATGTGTATGTATGTGTATCTGAGTCTGTGTGTTTTATGAGGTTGTGCATAACTGTGTGTGTGTGTGTGTGTGTGTGTCGCGCTCTCTCTCTCTGTGTGATTGAGTGTGTGCAAATGTGTATGGCAATGTATACATCCCATTATTCCAAGGCAAACACTGCACACAAATACATCACCGGCATACCAACACTGTACACAAGCCACAGTCTGTGTGGAGGGGATGAGGATACAAATCCCTGCTCACTGTATTCCTCACAGCATTGCTGGTGCGGTGGCAACTAAGTGATGAGGAAATGCTCTAGCTTTGCCACTGTCCATTTGTAAAATATGTAGTTCTCTTATCTGCAGTCTTCTAACCCCTCCCAGAGGCTGTCCAGTCACAGACCTTCTAATGCAGCTCAATGAGAAGTCTTTGCAAGGCAGGTACTCTGGACAATTGCTGCCTCTTGAGTTTACCTCCACTGAGCTAACCAAGCCAGGAAGTAACAGGACCTCTTGTCTGTATGAAAGCCAGCAAATGTAAACAGTATTATTTATAAAGGTGTCAATTTCTATTGAAATCTACACTTTATGTAAAATGAAGGGGGAAAAAAGCACACATTCTCCACAGCCTGGAGTCTCTCTTTTTAAAGGACCACTATAGTGCCAGTAAAACATACTCTATAGGATCCTTGGGTCCCCCTCACCCTCTGGGTCCCCCTCCCGCCGGGCTCTAGGGTGAGGAAGAGGTTAATCCCTTACCTTTTTGCCAGCGCCGGGCTCCCTCTGCCCTGGGGGGACTCCTCATCCTTTCCCCGTCATTGGCTGAATGCGCATGCGCGGCACAAGCCGCATGCACTTTCAGCCAGTCTATAGGAAAGCAATCTCAGTGCTTTCCTATGGACGCTAGCATCTTCTCACTGTGAAAATCACAGTGAGAAGCGCCTCTAGCGGCTGTCAATGAGACCGCCACTAGAGGCTGGATTAACCCTAATGTAAACATAGCAGTTTCTCTAAAACCGCTATGTTTACAGCAGGCAGGGTTAATCCTAGATGGACTTGGCACCCAGACCACTTCATTAAGCTGAAGTGGTCTGGGTGCCTATAGTGGTCCTTTAAGGTCAAGTTTGCCAAACTAGTAAAAATCTGTCATCTACGCTTTCAGTTCGGCTATTGCGACCTTAAATATGGAATTCACTTTGAGTTCTCTCTTTAGTAAATAACCCTGAAGAAATATTATTAATATGTTAGTGGCGTGTGAGTTTGAGCTAAAGGAAATGTTGAGCTTGCAACTAGAACAAATAGGAGTTGGTTAATTCATATAATCCTACAATCCAGGAAGGACTGTGCACTCCTG